TTTAGTTGTCCAGATCATTTCTTTCTATTTTTTTAGTAGAGACGGGGTCTCGCTCTTGTTCAGGCTGGTCTTGAACTCCTGACCTTGAGCAATCCACCCGCCTCGGCCTCCCAGAGTGCTAGGATTACAGGCGTGAGCCACTGTGCCCGGCCTTTTCAGGATTCTTAAATGTTATTTGTTTGCTAACATATGTAGGTATGATGTTATACATTTATTTGCAAAAACCCTACTATAAATGAAAGAATTGAGTTGGAGTATATTTTCAACTAATTATAAAAATAGAAATACTACATTTGGTAGAATTAAGTATGCTAGAAATTGTTGCATAGTAGAAATCTTTGTTTTTGTTTTAAAATAGAGAATAAGTTCATCCTTCATGTAAATTACCTAAAATTCTGACATGAAAGGCAAGTCTTTTAGATGATGATAACCTTACTACAGGTTGAACATCCCAAATCCAAAAATCTGAAATGATCCAAAGTCTGAAACTTTTTGAGCCCTAACGTGACACTCAATGGAAATACTTACTAGAATATTTTGGATTGCAGATTTTCAGATTTTTGGATTTGGGGTTCTCAACCTGTAAGTATAACACAAATATTCCAAAATCTGAAAAAAACCCAAAACTTGTCTGGTACCAAGAATTTCAGATATATACATACATATATGCTATACATATAGCATACAGTATATAATGTCTGAGTTTTTAAAAGTCCAGACAGAATAAGCAGTGTAGCCATTTGTGAAGGCTACAGCTCAATTAAGCTCTTACCAAGGTTTAACCTGGAAGAGAGATGGTGGCCATGCTCTAAAATTGACCCAAAATTTTTAAAGCTCTATAAACAAATGTTAAGAGCTCAGGTTTTGAGTCAGATCTGGGTTTCAGTCCTGATTCTAGCTCTTAACTCACTGTGGAATTTGGGGCAAGTTGCTTAACATTCTCTCAGTCTTAGTATCCACTTCAATAAATGGAGAGAATTGTTGTGAAGACTACATCAGATGATTATAAGCACACTTAGCATAGGGTCTGGCCCACATTAACTGCTCCAAAAATTGTAGCTAATATTGTTCAAGCTGTTCTTCCTTGGTCTGACACAGACACTTTGAATGAACTGAAGTAACTAAACTATGCTTTTTTCCCCCCTCTCTCCCTCAGACCCTAAGAAAACCACAAATACAGTATATCCAGAGTTAAAGAGTTTCCTGGTATCAATTTTAAAATCATTTTTATTGTCAAATCATGGCCCTACAGGTTGTTTGAATCTCTTAGGCCAGTAGTTCTACTGTATCAGAATCACCTGGAGGACTTGTTTTACAATCATAGATTGCTGGGCCCCACCCCCAGCGTTTTTCATTTAGTGGGTCTGGGATTGGGGCTTGAGAATTTGCGCTTACATCATGTTCCCAGGTGATGCTGTTGGCTGCGAGTGAGGTCACTCTTCAAAAACTTCTGCCCTAGGCCTAGGGGGAGAAATAATAATAAGCTTCCTTGGCATATAATTCTGTCCTTATAATAGAGCTATGTTCAAAAGCAAACAGGTTTTACAGTGGCATCATCATAGCTCACTGCAACCTCAAACTCCTGGGCTCAAGTGATCCTCCTGCCTCAGCCTCCCAAGTAGCTGGAACTACAGGCATGAGCCACCACGCCCAGCTAGTTTTTCTGGTTTTTTGGTAGAGATGGGGTCTCGCTCTTGCTCAGGCTGGTCTCAAACTCCTGAGCTCAAGCGATCCTCCCGCTTCAGCCTCCCAGGGTGCCAGGATTACAGGTATGAGCCACCACGCCCAGCCCTAAGTCTATCAGTCTTTAAATAAGCAGTCAAAAGGTTTACAGTCATGTAAAATCTTAGGGACAAAAAGCATTTTAAACAGTATCTGTCCTTATGATATCTGATATTAGCATGTAAAATCCAGGGAAATTATTTGTTCAGAGCCTATGTAGGAGCAGCTGCCTACATGGAGTGATTTTTGAGAACACCACAAAAGACTCCCTGTGCCCAAATATCACTTCTCACTATGAATGATGCCAACAGTTATTATGCCATCTCTACTTTTTTATTCCACAGTTAGGGATATGGTTTAAAATACAGATAACCCTGCTAAAAATAATCCATTGAATTTATTAAATTGATTCTGGGTAATCCAGGGTATGTATCTATAAAGCAATGTTTAGTTTATATAAGTCCCCCACTTTCCCATACACAAATCTGTTTTATCTGTTTAATTCCTTTATAAGTAGAAAATGTGAATGAAAAACTGCTTTCAGGTTTGCCTGTATTTGGTTGGGAGGTAGAGCTGGGGATTGGATAGAGCTAGAAGAAGATAGGAAAGGTACATTGGAAAGCCTAAAAGCACTGAGGGCCATAAATGGAAAGGGTTGCTTAGAGGGGGAGCGTTCACAACAGGAGACAGAAAGCTAAGTTTTCCTTTGTCTGATTGTCTTTTAATCACTGGAGTTGTATTTATTTATCAGAAGTTTTAAGTTTATGCCTTTTTTTTCTAGACATGTTAACAATGTATTAAGCTCCTGAACTTTGCCTTACCTTTCCAGTGATATCTTAGAAATGCGTAGTAAATATTTCCACAATTCCCCTAAAGGGCAACTAGAAGTTTGCACATCAAGGCTTAGAACCTTGAGCAGGGTCTTCTAACTTGGTGACTAGACATGACATGACAAAGGGAGCCTGAGCGATAAGGAGCTTGCCATGGCTGCTTGCAAAAGCATATGTTGCTGATGATCCCTCTACCCAAGGCCTATAACAGTTAATATAATTGAAGAATCATAAGCACTACCTAAGATGATTTATTCATTTAAATTAACTTGGCATACTAATATATTAAAACCTAATTTTAAGCTGGAGTTTGCAACATTTTGCCTTATGTAAAAACAGACTTATTTGTATGTATGTAATTGTTAGTACTATAACTCTAAAAAAGCTTTAATACCTTCTGCTCGCTCCAGGGTGAAAGATTGAGCCATGCTGTAGGCTGTGCTTTTGCAGCCTGTTTAGAGCGTAAGCAGAAGCGGGAGAAGGAATGTGGAGTGACTGCTACTTTTGATGCTAGTCGGACCACTTTTACAAGAGAAGGATCATTCCGTGTCACAACAGCCACCGAACAAGCAGAAAGAGAGGAGATCATGAAACAAATGCAAGATGCCAAGAAAGGTACAATCTATTCCAATACACTGTATGTTTATTTAATTCAGTTTTTCCCAACAGGGTAAAATTTTAAGCTTTTAGGGACAAGTTTTCTTTTGATCAAGGAGAACCCTTAGCCATATAAGAAGACCTTAATAACAAAGATAAAAATCTTACAAAAGTGCCTTCCTTTAGAGTGGCTAGTTTAAGGAAGGCTTCAAATCTACTCTTTTTGGGAAAATTGAAAGTACATTCGAAGAAGCTGCGAAGATATCTGTTACCCCCTCCCTTCCATCCCGAAACAGATTTTTAATTCTGAGGTATCTGATCTCTGTAAGAAGCAAATGCCATTAAGTACCTACATCTTGAAGGAAGAAGCATAAGTCCCAGGGTTTAGGGCTGCAAAGGATCCACTGACTGTGATGCTGGCAGAGATTTAACAGTGATACTGTTTTGATTAGACTATTGCTGTTTTTTAGTGCTTTATAGTCACAAAAGTCTATAGATTTTGAGAAGTCAGCCCCTAACTCTTTTTCCCATAGCCCTCTGTTAATTTTAGTGTGTGATTTTGTAGAATGTGAGCTGTTTCTTTAGGTACACATGGAATCACAGCAGAAATGCCTATACAAACATTCAAGTTACTCAGGAGTCTGTAAATTGGAGTTGGGTATATTTTAGAACTAAATGATAGGGCTTGAAAACGCTTTGCATTCTTGTATATAGCTAGGGTTGAAGCCAAGAAGAAGCACAAAAACAGTTCAGTTTAATAGACATTAATATAATTTTGATAAATTTTTTACTATGTCCTTTTAGTTCTAAACCGGCCATTTTAGATAATATCATTGATCTAATAATGACCTAAACATCTCTAATTCTTAAGCCCCAAAAAAGCATAACTAGTAATCCTAGCTCTCTGGGAGGCTGAGGCAGGCGGATTGTTTGAGCTCAGGAGTTCGAAACCAGCCTGAGCAAGAGCGAGACCCGTCTCTACTAAAATTAGAAAGAAATTAATTGGACAACTAAAAATATATAGAAAAAATTAGCCGGGCATGGTGGCGCGTGCCTG